CCGGCCTGGCTCGTGTGTGCAGGGGTGGAGGAGAGTGGCTGTCATCTCCTTCCGTCTGTGTTGCAGAACGGCTTGTGCCACTACAACAAGTCCGAGCTGGTGGGCAAAATGAAAGGCTACGTCAACGTCACCTCGGGTAACATCACGGCCCTGAAAGCCGCCATCTACAAGAACGGCCCCGTGGCCGTCAGCATCGATGCCTCCAAGCGGTCCTTCTCCTTCTACTCCAACGGCGTCTACTATGAACCCAAGTGTGGTGAGTGTGGCCGTTCCCGGCCGTTCGGCTCCTGGGATGGCTTTGGCTGGCCCTGGGCAGTTGGCTTCTGGTGGCCAAGTCCAGCAGTCCTGGAACGCTACCACACAATGACTCCACCGGCAGTCTGGAGCCCCTGTGGCTTGACGAGGGCATTGCAGGGGATCTGACACTAGGGGGCAGCCACGTCTCCTTTCCCAGCTGCATACGTTCAGACCAGACAAATAAGCCAGTTCAGCAAGATGTGGAGGGTTCCCTTGGGGCGGGGGAGGCTTTGATGAAAGGAAACGAAACCGGAGGAACCCCCGGTTTCTAGTCCCAGCTCTGCTGTTCATTTGCTAGGTGATTTTGGGCTAGTTACGTGAACCCGGTGCCTCAGTTGACCTGGGGGGATAACAACACTTATCCACTGCTGCAAAGTGCTTTGAGACGTGCGGATGAGAAGCGAGGCCCTGGTTCTGTCACTAATGAGCTGGCTAGCGGGGCAGTGCCGTCGGCTCATATCTATTTTGGCCCCTCTAGGTAACCAGAGAGGTGACTTGGACCATGCGGTCTTGGCTGTCGGCTACGGTGTGCTCCAAGGGGAGCTGTACTGGCTGGTGAAGAACTCCTGGTCCACCTACTGGGGTAACGACGGCTACATCCTCATGTCCATGAAAGACAACAACTGCGGGGTAGCCACGGACGCCACCTACCCCATCCTGGAGTGACTCCCGGCGCCAAACCAGGCTGGGCTCACCTACACCATCCTTGCCCCACCCACAAGGGTCACCGGGCCTGGGCAGTTGATTTGCAGGCCGGTGTGGATTTCATCCTAGCAGAGACACCCACTGGAGAAGCGAATGTATACGGTCCCCGTGCCTCGGCCCTCGTCGGGAGCAAATCGGTTCCTCGGAACCTCACGGCTCTAAGCCCCTGAGTGAAAGGGAAAGCAGCCACTCAGGGGGAGGATGGTGGGAACATACCATAGCAATCAAGGGGGGGTGGTAATTTGGGGAGGGGAAGAGGTGTGAAAAAAGGGGCTGCCTGTACTGTCCCCCTAGGATGGCCGCCTGGCTACCAAGCAGCCCAAAGAAGCCCACAGGGACGCAGCGGAAGTTGCTCGCGCCACTGCTGGCAATAAAGTCCCTGGGAAAGTGCTGTCTCTCTTTTAAACCAGCTGGGGGAATTAAAGTGCACTTGCTTCACAAGGCGGTTTGGCTTCACGCTGCTCTAGGCGCGCTCCCGACCACTGCCAGCGGGGCAGGACACCCCGTGCACGCTGCCCCGTCCCCTCCCCCCAAAGCCATCAGGTCATATTCCTCTTCACCCCCAAAGCAAACCTCCTTCTCCCTCAGTACCTGGCAGCGGTGGCTCCCCTGCACTGCAGCTGCTCTCCTGGTGCTGGCATAGCCCCCGGGGGCACGCAGGGGTCCTCACTGCTGTAGGGGCGGCTTCCTGCCAGTGCTGGGAACCCCACTTGCTCTAAGAACGGCCAGGCCAGGGGCAGCTGCCTCCAGTTAGCAGCTGATCTTCATTTCCTCCCTGGGGCCAGCCAGCCAGTGAGCTCAGACCTTCTGCCCGGCCAGCCGGTGCTAAGGCCCCTCCCTGCCAGGCTCAGGTGGCGCTCACGGCTGGGCAGCATGGGTGCCCCTCCCTGCTGCCAAGCCACGGTGGGAAGTCTTCAAGTGCCACCCGTTCATACGGGGCCCAGCCCCACCAGCCTCCTCTAGGCTGGCAGCCGGGGTTTGAACGGAGCCTTTCCCCCGCGGAGAGAGGAGGGAGCGGGAGGCGGGGCAGTCTCAAGTTGCCCCAGTGCGTGTGGGGAGCAGCTGCCCCTTTCCCCGGAGCTGAGCTCCCATCCCAGGGCAGCTCCAACGAGGCCTCCCCAGCCTGGGCTGGGGGAGCAGACCCAGCTGTGGCCTTCGGCCTGGCAAACCGGCTTCATCCCTCCAAGGCTTAGAGGGAGGGTGTCCTAGGAGAACCGGGGACCGCTGCCTGCGGAGGGCAGATGTGGGACCATGTGACGGCCCCAATGCTGACAGCGGAAGGGGAACCAAACCTCGCGTTTCAGGGCTGGAGCCGGTTTCTAGGTGATGGAGGTCAGGGAGGGACCTACTGCGGGGAGCAGGTTCTCCCACAGCTGCTGCTCCGCGGTTCTTACACCTTCCTCTGAGGGGCTGGCCCCTGCCTGAGACCGAATCCTGGCCTGGGAGGGCCTAGAGGCTGATCCAGCAGGGTGGGTCCTCCAGGCCTCGCTAGGCCTGCAAACAGCCCCCGAGGCGCTGACCAGACTCTCAGGGCTTGTCTTCGCTGCCGTGCACATGGGTGTCACCCCTAACTCGAGTCCTGTCCACGCACAAGAACCCACCCTCCGGGGGCGTGGCTACAGCTCATGTTAGCACGACGCCCCAGCGGCTCACACACGCATGGCGTGGACGCGTTCTCTGGCTTAGGCTGACCCAGGAGGAGTCCACGTGAGTGTGGATTGCCTGAGTTCGCTCTGCGGTGGAGAGCTAGCCGCTAGCTTGCTGCTCGGGCACGCTAAGAGCTAGCGTTGCCCCGTGTCTGCAGGGGAACCTGGCCAGGGGCGTTTGCATAAGGACCAGGACGCAGTCAGGAGGAGGCGGCTGCACCCAGCCCATTGTACGGGCCCCAGCAGGCAGGGGACACGCCTTCAGCAAGCCTCAGGCCACAGCAAGGAGTGAGGTTCTGCTCCTGCATCAGTGCGGGAACCAAGGCTCCGGCACCATGGGAGGCTCGGAACCGTAGGACTGGGGCTTCTTCTTCCATATGGAAAAACAGGCTCTCGATGGGTGTGGCGGGGCTGCAGCAGCGGGCGATTGCGTGAGCTCCACCCAGCCATGTGCTGGCGTTGGCCTGGTGCGTTGCTCGCCTACCAACCGGGACTCTGCAGCCCAGTTCTGCGTTGCTGTGGGTGGTGGTGGGGGGTCACACCAGGCAGCCGCAGCAGTCCCATTGCCGGAGCTGCGACAGTGGCTTGCAGGGATCGCATGAGACCCTCAGAGCAAGAAGCCCAGGTGAGACCAGCCCAGGCCTGCGTGCTGCCTCCAGCGCTGAGCGGTGGCTCAATGCGGCTAGTGTAATAAAGCCCTGAGCCCAGCAGCTCCGGTACTACCATGGCGACAGAGGGTCACTAAGTAACAGACACAGCAGGCACCGGGTCTTTGCCATTGCCGTGCCGGAGACTAGCGCGACACGCCCGGCGTGCTGACCCCGCGAGCGCTGGGTCAGAGCCAGCCAGCTGGAGCGGTGGCCGGATGCGGGATGTGAGCAGGAAGGCAGGACTTCTGGAAGTGGCTTCCCCCTGGCCAGAGTCACCTCCGTGGGGAAACGCGTGAGCTGGACAATGCTCGTGGGTTGCACCCTGGGGTTTGCGGTCCGTGCTGTGTAGGGTGCCAGGCTGAGAGCTTTGCACTCCTGCGAGTCACCCCAAGGACTGCGAGCGAGGTGGACTCCTCCTAGCTCCCTGCATCCCACTAGCCAAGGGAGCTGTGTCCAGTGAGGGATTCCTAGCAGAACCAGAACTGACCTCGCCTAGGACGTGATGCTGCTGCCGGACAGGGGATCCCAAAGCGTGGAAGGACCGTTCCCTAGGCTGGGCTCACAGCTGTGACTGCTCACTGGAAGGCTGCCTGGGGAAACCGTGCAGAGAGAGACCACGGAGTTCGCTGGCCTGCACCAGGCAGCTAGCCAGGGCCCACGGGGGAAAGGGGGTGGCTGCAGGGCGCCCAGCTCAGAAGAAAACAAGAGGCTGAATAGCTGAGGATGTGGAAAGCAGCCGAACTCCCAGGTCCCACAGAAAGGGCAGGGGTGCGCCGGGCTGGCAAACCCGTGTGCTGTGCCCCATCACATCCCGCATTCTCAGCAGCAACTGGCTGAGTCAGTGCTTGGCTGGGAGGCCGTCAAGGCCCACTCAGCCCACTGCAGGGGTGGGTGCTGGTCACTCCCTTCTCTGAGACACGGCGGCATGTCACAGTTCAGGGCCACTGCACCTGGATTCCCAGTCCCTGGTCCCCTCATCCAGCCCCTGCACTGCTGGAAGAAGGAGCCTTCCTATCTCTGGAGGCTACACTGTCTCCCCTGGCAGCGACGTGTGCACCCTGACAGGACGCAGCAGCTAGCAGCCCCCTGTCAGTGCTGACCCTCTCCTCAGACACAAAGAGCACGACCCCTCTGGGCAGCCTCCCTAGCTCATCACGGAGGAAGCCGGAGGTTTTGGCAGCTGGGTCTGGAGCAGTTGGAGATTTCTGGCCCCCGGGGAGACGTAGGGGGACAGTTTGGGATCAAGGGGTAAGACACATTAGCTGGACTCTTCGGCTCGGATGATCAGCAGGGAGATAAATAACAATGCTGATGTTTAAAGGACCATCACTAGGGTTCAGAGTTAACAACTAACTGAGAAGAACAGGGCAGTTCTCACACAACAGAACTCTCATTTCAGGCTCCCTGCAGACTCAGGAAGACGACGACGCAGCAGTTAGACTCTGTTTGCATCTACGATTTTCTTCACAACCACGGGGGCTGGCACGATCCTTCTCTCTTTTACGCAAGAGCGGAGGCTTGGGAGCAGAATCCCACAGCACAGAGGGGATCTGCAGCTGCGGGAATCCAGGTGGCCTGGCTTACAAGAGGGGTCATTTATGCTTTCCCTTGTGACCACACCGGCCTAGCTGGGTTCCCCACCCCACTCCATTGTTGGGGGAGCCCAGCAAACAGATAACCCTCCAAAGACCAGAATACTTTGTGCCTTTACCAGCGAGTTTATTGACAGGACCAGAATCAGTCGCATCAGCTGTTTCTCTTTGCCAGCTGCAGGCCTGGGAGTTGCCCTAGTTACTGTAACTCACCAGATTGCTAGCCAACTATAGGGAGAGAGGGGAAGAGGGGCCGGAGCACCATCCAGAGAAGCCCTCCTTTCAGTTCCCAGCCGGAACGAGGGCTCCCCGCCACCCACAGCAGCTGGTCTGACTTCTCTGGTTCCATACCTAAAGCACTGCAAAGCTCTGCAAAGGGTTCTTCACATGTGGGTGCTGCACTCAGGAGGGGAGCTTGCCACACCTGTAGGCAGAACCCAGTTCGCTTTGATTTAGCTAGATCAAAGCCAGCTTGAGTAACAGCAGCCGCGTGGGCGGCGGCACAGGCTAGCTGCTGGAGTCAGTACCCAGGAAGGGGACTCGGGAGGCTGCCGTGGCGACACTGGTTGTGCTACTCGAGCCAGCTTTGATCTCGCTAGATCAAGGCTCGCCGAGACTGTGTCTAGCTAGATCCGGCTTCGCTCGGGTCTGCCGACCTGGGCTTGCAGTCACACCTCGTATTGCAGCACACCCTGGGCTGGGCTGAAATCCGCCCCAGCGAGAGGAGACCCTAGTTGCCCTCAGCTCCCATTTGGCTTCCCTGGGATTTCAGGGCACTCAGCATGAACCGGCAAGTGCCTAGGCCATGCAGCATCAGGCATGGCCTAGCTTGGTCCCGTCCGGAGCACAAGCAAGCACAGATAACGCGCAGACGGCTAAGGACCAGCATCTCGAGGCCAGCGCGCTTCCCTCTGACCCAGGAGCGGCTGGAGATCACGCCAGGACGGGGTACGTTGCCGCGCTCGCCACCCCGCAGTTGTTGTCCTGCATGGACAGGAGGATGTAGCCGTCGTTACCCCAGAAGGTGGACCAGGAGTTTTTGATGAGCCAATAGCTCTCCTCTTGCAGGACCCCGTAGCCCACGGCCAGCACCGCGTGGTTCAAGCTCCTGCTGGTATTCCCTACGGCCGAGAGGAAAGGAGATTAGCAAAGGGGCTTCTCGTGCTGCTCTTAACCCCGCTGCGGTTACCCTCCCCGCCAGCATCTGGGCTCTTGCATTCCCAGGAGGCCAAAAGACAAGTCTCACGCAGAGAAACAGCGTCAGCCAGCCAGCCACAGCAACCCTGGAGTGATCCGTGGGGGCAGATCCATGGATACTAAGGCCCATAGAGACCATCACGCCCAACTAGTCTGACCTCCCGCCTAACCCAGCCCAGCGTGCCCCACTGAATTGTTTCTGCATCGGATGCCGCGGGTTGGGACTCTCCCGAGACGTAGCTTCCTCCCCGGTGTGAATCGAATGCCCTCCTGCAGGCAGCTTGGAGAGTTGTACAGTCAGGTCTATTTTGCATGGGGCTGTGCCAAGAGGGAAGGGCGGTATCGGCCGCCCGGCTAGCCTCGTTCTGCCAGGGAAGTTATTTGGGGCACCTAGGATGGACTGTGATTGCCCCCTGGTGGCGGAGCCTGGGCAAAGCTCTTGCAAAGCTCTTAGAACAGGGGGGTGGCGCATTGCATTGGAAGACCCCCGAGCATTGCTCCAGTTATCCGGGATTCGTCAAGCTGGAGAAGGCAACACCTTTCTAAGAGCTGTCGTTGGGGGCTGGGGAGGTGCGTGATCGGAGGCAGAAGGGAGGCAGGAATGCTGGGGTGCCACCGTGACCGAAAGTACCGCTGTATTCCCCACCCGCCCCGACACACTGTTGTGATCGTCTTTATACCGGATATGCCTTGTGAGGTCTCATTTGAAAACTAACAACTTGCTGGTCAATAACACTCTGGTGAAAGATACGCAGCAACATTCTATGTAAAGTTATGAATTCCGCCTGCACGATGTTAGCGTACGGTCAAACCCCCCCAGCCTCCCTAGGCAAGAGTTGTTAAGCAGGTCTGGCCTGAACAAAGCAACATGGGTTCACCTCCGTTTACATGTAAGTAGTAAACAGGACCCTGGGGCTGGAGACACAGCAAGTCTGCATTTCAGCATGCACAGGGGAGAAGGAGCCACCTTCACCAGCAGATCCCATGTCACCTTCTTTACTGTGTGAATAAATGTAGCTTTGAGGGGGAAATCTCAGAAGAATCTACTCCAAATGGTGAGTGGATTGCAAAAGTGAAGGGCAGAACCACCCAAGGGATCTCTCCCTCTCTCACACACATCTGAGACGACAAAGGAACCAGACGGGGGAGATCCTGTCCTGAGAATTTGGGCAGCATTGTCGCTGGGAACCTGTCGTGAGGATTTTACCTTGACCCAAGCCTCGCTGGTGACGTTTTAGCTGCCAGAAAGCTTTATTTCTCTCTCAACCATGTCTGACTTCCATACCTTACTTAGCCTTGCGCTCACTCAAAACCTCCCTCTTTGTAGTTAAATAAACGTGTTTTATTTTTAAACTAAACTAATCCAGGGCTGTGTTTAAACCAAACTGTTTGGTAACTCCGGTTAAAGTAGCCAATTGTTGAATATTGACCCCTTGGGGACTGGTAATAGCTGAACCGTCCAGGAAAGGGCTGGGCAGCGCAGAACACACGTTTGGGGGAAAACCTCGGCCTGGGAGTGTGTTGGGGTCACCCCGTGAGCAGTAACCCAGGCTGGTGGAAGCCGGAGCGTGGCTGGACCAGCGCTGCAGCCGTACACAGACACTCAGTCTGTTTGTCAGCAGCCCCGGTTGGGAGCTACCACCCCAACGTTGCGGGGCAGGTGGTGACACAACCCCTCGCGGGGCTGGATTGCATCCCTGAACGGGACGCCCAGCCCTTGGATTTCTAGGGCCTCTGCTGCCTCCCTTCAATACACCTTTGGAGTCCGTGGAAGTGATCAGGGGCCAGCCCGGCTCTGTGCTGCTTGGGTGCTCTTCAACCTGGGGAATGTCCTGCCATGCACAGAGGTGGCTCTGTACAGTTGCACTAGGAACCAGCACCCCCAGGCTGGCAGCCACGTGCGGCCCCCTGATGATTTTCCCGGTGGCACTGGGAGAGGGAGGGGGTACCCGAGTACAGAGAGCAGCGTGACGCACTAGAGCCCACCCGGCCCGTGGTGCTGGAGCCAGCAGAGAAACCCTCAATGGAACAGAACAGCCTGGGACTCTCCTGGTCCATGGGGGTGCACGGCCACCCTGTCTCCTGAGCAATCCGGGATCCAGCAGCCCCTGGCAAAAGATCACCATGACACAGCCTCCCCTGCTAGCCATGCAGTCTCATCCCACCGGGAGCGCCACGCGGCTGGCAGGGCTGGACTCACCACACTGGGGATCGTAGTAGATGCCGTTGGAGTAAAAGATGAACGACTTGAGGGAGGCGTCGATGCTGACGGCCACGGGGCCGTTCTTGAAGATGGCAGCTCTCAGGGCAGTGACGTCGCCGGCCGGGACGTTGACGTAGCCCGTGATGTTGGCGAGGAGCTCAGTAGAGTTGTAGTGGCAGTATCCGTTCTAGGAGGCAGGCGGGACACTGGAGTTTAACAGCGGTAGGGTTTGAGTGTCCCCGTCCAGCCAGAATGCTCACAGAACAACCCCCATCCACCCCCTCACTGCAGCCAAGCCTGCATAAGAGCCAGAGGAGGCCAGTTGATCCATGACACGCCACCAGCTCACACCCAGCCAGCCAGTAAACTCAGCCCTCTCCTGCCTGCTCAGCCCAGGGAGAACTAGCAGCGGTTCTGGCCGCTGGGCCGGCCCATTAGTGGGACACTCCACGAGGCCAGGAGAAGCATCTGTTAAGCTCTGGCAGAGCTGGGACATGGGTGGTCTGGCCTAGCAAGTAGGACCAGGAGGAAGGCTTGGTGGGAGTCAGGGCTCAAGCCAGGGGTCAGAACCAGTCAGGAGTGTAGGCAGGGATTGCAGGCGGAGTTAAGGATTAGGAGCCAAGCCAGGAATCAGAGCCAAGGTCCAAATCAGGGACCAGAGCAGGACTTGTGGTGGCAATACGCCACATGCTGCCAAGCGGCACGGACAGCTTCCTGGAACACCCTCCATGCTTAAATAGAGCCCGTGGACCAGTCAGAACCGCTGCAATCAGGTCTGCGCGGGCAGCACTTCCTGTGGTGCTTATTCTCCCAGGGTTTATTCATTGCAACGCTGCTGAGAGCCGCACCAATCCCCCGGCACTCTGCAGACCTGGGTTCTAGCCTTCCGGAGCCTTACACGTCCCCTCTCATCATTTAACAAAAACCCCTCGGGGGCCAGGCGCTGCAGAGGGGCTGTACCGAGGGTTACGGCACTAAATGGGAAGCGTGGAGAAGAAACACTTGTGGGACTCAGAGCCGAGTGGAGCAGGTAGGTTTGCTTGGATCTGAGATTTCTGTAACGGACGAGAATTCTGCAGCAAGGGGAGATTTCAGGATCTTCAGATGCAATTGGTTCCTCCAAGAGTTTTATACCACTGCCCGTCGCTGTGGTATCGGAGCACCTGCCATGTAAAATCAAAGCCCCGGCGCATTGTCTAAAACTGGTTATAATGTCAAGGATCGGAGGTAGGAGAACATAGTAAGTTGCATCACGACGGAGTGGGGTCCCTGGAACGTTAGCCAGACTGGCCCTGCAGCCCCCCTCTCCTCCTGCAGCCCCAGCGCTGGGTGGCCCATCCACTCCACAGATACCTTCAGAATTCAGACCGCTAGTTCTGGACCACATCCTGCCTTCACTGAAATCAACGATAAATCTCCCGTTGGCTTCAGTGGTGCAGGATCCACAAGGAGCACCAGGAAATTCAGCCACCAGGAGTCCGTTCTTGACTGGCCTCATCGCCTGCTATCCCAGTGCCCAGCCTGGGCTCTGGGCGCTGGTATCCGCCCAGAGGTATGAACCTCTGCCTGACCCCGCTAATATCTAGGGTATGCTGGAGACTCATCTCATGCCAGGGCCCTGCACGGTGCGTGGAGGGATGGATTTCGCCTCTTCTGGCCGCGTCAGAGAACTAGAGGCTGGCGAACGGAGGCTCACAATATCCATTGTCTGGCGTCGGGGGAGGAGCCTGGACCATACCTGAGACTCACCAGCTACACAATAGACACGCTGTGGGGCGGGGGGAGGGGGAATCAGCTGCTCCCAGGATCCCATCCCAGGCCACTTCCATCTTTGCTGGGCCCTGCACCAAGTTCTCCCGTCAGCAGCCCCAGCCCTTAGCCAAGGGAGCCCACAGGGTTCCCCGGGGCTCTCGGCGTCACATCCCCCCTCGGCCCAAGGTCACGCTGCACGAGCAGGTCAAACAAGTTCTCTCTGTGGCTCCCCTAGCAGGTGCCTAGAAGAGCAGCCCGACTCACCTGGCCCCTGTATGGCCCGTAGGCCTCAGCGCTTGGTATGCCACCGTGCTTCTTGACCCATTTAAAGGCCCGCCAAGGGAGGCCGCCGTCGCAGCCGTGGTTCCCGAAGCCCCAGGAGCAGTCGATCAGGGCTTGCTGAGACAGGGGGGTCAGGCCTCCGGTCTGGGGAGGAGAGGAGGGCAGGGAAGGGCACAGAGAACTCAAACTTTAACTTCACCGTCCCCTTTATGTCAATGCTGACACATCACACACAGGCTCACCAAGATCACGTCCAGGGAGATACTACATCCCCCCTTCCATGCTCTGGGGACCGCTCTCCCTCCATCCCCGGGCTGGGACACATGGACCGCGGGAGCTGTGTCTCGGGTGAGCATCATCTGGTCAGCGATGCCGGTGTGGCCAGCCAGAACTGCTCGAACTGGGGAGCACCTGGGGCAGGACTCCAGGCAGAGTCACACCCGTGGGGCTGAGAGCAGGGACTCTCCAGTCAGTAGCTGAGACTAATCTGCTCTGGAGGCCGCGTCTTGTGGTTAAGGCACTGGCCGGGCCCACAGGGGGTCTGGGTTTGATGCCTGGCTCGTTGTGTGGCCCAGGAAGTCACTTCATCTCTCTGTATCCACTTCCCCATCTGTTCCATGAGGATAGCGGTACACACCTTCTCCTACCCTCTGCCTTGTCTCTGCAGAGCGTAAGCTGTTCCGGGCAGGGGCTGTCTCTGACTGTGTGTGCGTACAGCTCCCAGCACAATGGGGCCGTGATCTCAGCCGCGGCATCTCGGGGCTACCACAATACATATGAGAGTTGAAAGACCCACAGTGGGGGGTGTCTTGGCTGCTCCACCCTGTGGCGTGATCCCTGCTCGTACAAGCTGTGGGTGTGACGAGGAGGCAGCCGGGTTGTTACCTTGAGGAACAGGGCACCTTCTAACCCTCCGGTAGCAGCAAAGCTCCAGCAGGAGCCGCACAGAGCCTGGTCCTTCACCGGGGTCACCGCGCCTGGGGGAGAGAATAAGAAATGAGCCCCGTGCAGTAGAGAATTCAGATCTTCCACATTTCAGCTCTCTGATCTCCCTGGCCCCTGAACGCCTGGCGTCACCAGCCACGTGGCCTCTTTACCACGAGATGGCCGTTCTTCACCCCCCTTCCCCCTGGCAATTGCCACTCGCCCTGCTCCCCCGGCCCAGGTGCCTCGACACCCTGAAGAAATGCAACATGAAGAGCAAGCGGAAAACTTTTGGGTCATCTCGCCGGAGAGCAGAGGCCCACGCACGTGACTCGGTGGGTCATGGGCATGGAGGAGGAGTCCAGTTTCCATCACGCTCCCGGTACCAAGCTATCACTCGCCCTGCTGGAGTCGGGGTTATTCGAGTGGGAGGCCAAAGTCAGAGAGGAGTCTAAGCTGGCGTCGATTACACCTTCCGGCCCCCTCAGTGCGGGAGTGACGACTCGGGATACATCGACCCTGGAGCTGCAGGGGTCATTTCCACCTCCAGGAGACACACCCACGCTAGCTTGGATCCAGCTAACCTGCCATCTCTCCCCAGCCCAGCCAGCGCTGGTTAGTCTGACGCCGTCATGGGAATGGACTGAAAGGGCCCCCAGCCTGTCTCTTCTCCCCACCGCGCTGACCTGGGAATTCGCCCTACTATTCCTCAGTGCTGGGAGCTGGGAGCGATGCTCGACACTGCCCCCCTCTGTCGAGTTACGGTAAAACAACTCGTGCCAGGAGGAGCCCTACACCAGGGTCGCCATCTCCAGAGCAAAGGGCTCTCTGCATTCACTGACTCCCGGAGCCGAGCGCTGAGCACTGGCTCCCCGTTTTGTGGGCTCTGATTTACTACCCTCGGGAGCCCCACAAGCCCCACCCTTCTTCTCCCCAGTCCTCCTCTCTGGGGCGGTGCTACAGCCTACAGCAGCATCTCCTAGCTGGGCCCCTCTTTGCTTAGCCCAGGAGTTCTCAAACTGGGGGTCGTGACCCCTCAGGGGGTCGTGAGGTTATTTCATGGAGGGTCACGAGCTGTCAGCCTCCCCGCTCCCCGAACACTGCTCTGCAGCCAGCATTTATAATAGTGTTAAATATATAAAAAGTGTTTTTAATTTATAAGGGGGGGTCACACTCAGGGGCTTGCTGTGTGAAAGGGGTCACCAGTACAAAAGTGTGAGACCCACTGGCTTAGCCCTCTTCCTCCCTGGGTGGGGAGAGGTCAGCAGGCAGGCAGCCCTGCTTCCCCAAGTTGGTGTCTCTCCCGCTGGGAGACTAAGGAGGCAGCAGATATCCTGCCTTCCTTCCCAGGGCTCATCCGGGCTGGCTGCAAGAGGGGAACCCTGCCCATGTCCCTGCTTCCCTCCAAGGCTCCGGGTCCTGGGCCCTTAAAGGGGCAGACTATTCCCCTGGGACCATCTTCCTCTCCTCCAGCACCTGCCTCGGCCTTTCCCTAGGGCTTCATCCACCCAAGGAGTCCCACGAACCCTAGAGGGATACGCCATGGAACAGGGCCCAACTGACCCCTAGCCCTTTGAAGGGGACAGTCCCCCTCTCCCAAGCTCCATCCAGGCCCCCAGCTAACAGGATGGCAGCTGAAGTCTGAAGCAGGGAGCCGCCCAAGGCTCTGGCAGGCCTAAGAGCTGCATTTCAGCCTCGCCTGGAGGCCGAGGGTGTCCCCCACTTGTCAGGGGACTGCAGGAGAACAAGGACTTGGGGAGGGAAGCAGCCCCAGGGATGGGTGGACAATGCGGATGCAGGTGGCCTTCCTCACCATACAGCCTCCAGTCCAGACTCTCCGGCAGGATGATCCCAGCGTACGGCGCCCGTGGGAACGGCTGCCCGTTGTCAGGACTTTGGTCCTGCAGCCGCCCCCGCAGCACGGCCATCTCCTCCGGGGTGCGGTCGGCCAGGTGGTTCAGCGCCAGCCTGTAGGGCAGGTTGGCCCGATTCTTGGAGTGGACGTACCTGGGAGGGGATGGATGATGTGAAGAGAGGGGGAAGCCGGTGGTGGGCAGCCCTGGTGGACCCGGCACATCCCTGAAGCAGCCCCTCACACACACACACACGCACTCAAATAACCGCAGTTTGGAGATATCCCATCTCCTAGACCTGGAAGGGACCTTGAAAGGTCATCGAGTCCAGCCCCCTGCCTCCACTAGCAGGACCAAGTACTGGTTTTGCCCCAGATCCCTCAAGTGGCCCCCTCAAGGATTGAACTCACAACCCTGGATTGAGCAGGCCAATGCTCAAACCACTGAGCTATCCCTCCTAGGTCACATGACAGCCAGAGCACAGAGCAGTCATCTCCCAGGACATGCATCTCCTCCCCTCTCGCTAAGAAGCCTACAGCTGATTGATGGCTAGAGACTCAGGGCCTGATTCGCACTTACCCCCCATCTGCACTGCCAGAAGGGGGAATGGGGGGGAGCCTTCATTCTAGTTAGGAGTGGGGAGCACGGGGCGGGGTGGAGGGCCCAGCTGTCTCTGGCCTTCTCAGTTCTCTGTGAGTTCTCAGAAGAAGCGACTCAGGGCAGAGGGGTGGAGTCCCGGAGAGCCGTCTTCTAACCCATCGAGGGCCAGGAGCAAGACGAGGTTTCCTGCGCTGGCATCGGCCCGACACTGACATTATGGGAAGGGGCCGGATCAAATTCATACCGTGTCGCTCAGGGCTGGGCCTGACTCTTCGGCACAGCCAGGCCGGGTCAGGGGAACAAGGCTAATCTGGGATGACGCATTCCCCACCCCCACCATTCCCCGCCCCCTCCCTGAAAACCAGCCCAGGGCCCAGCTGCCTCGCCCCGACATCCGAGCTCCCGCACCTCATGTTGTGAATGAAGGTTTGTGCCCTGCGCTCAAGCTCCTTCTCGCTGCCGTACTGCTTCCTGTACTCCCGCCGGTAGTGATGGAACAGCTGATGGCCTCGATCCGCCTGCCTGCCCACGAAATCCCACATGGGGTTGGCGAGGATCCGATGCTCCGCTCCGTCTCCCAGAGGAAACTTGCACTCCATGTCTAGGACAGAGCCGAAGGTTACGGCACACGCCGGAAAGCCATTGCTCACAGACACCCGCCGGCAACCCCCCCGGTCTCTGTACCGCCCCCTGCAGATCCCACAACCCAGCTGCATCTTCACCAGGCCCCATAGCTTCATGCCACACCCCAGGATCCATCCCCAAGGAACACCGCACCCCCAACGCCATGCACTGGTGTCTGATGAAAACGAGGACCCTACCCTGCTAGCACAGAGCCCTGCCCTGTTTCCCGCTGTAGTTTTTGCTAGCCAGGCTGTATCCCCTAGGCCAGGCACAGCACTGGTCTGCCCACCAGAGCCTTCCTGGCAGGGCTAGGACATTGGCAGCCGGGTGAAGCACGTGCCTCTCAGAGCTGGGAATGAGAGTAGCTGCATATTTGAGCCAGTGGCTGCTTTCCGTGTCCTAGACAGGTGCAGCCCCGGGCCAAGAACGCACGGAGCGCCGCACGTCAGCCTGAAACAAACCCTTCGTTCCTGGCCCAGAGCGAGATCCACCAGAGAAGCGCAGCATGCCAGCTTTAGCCTATGGGTCCGTGAGGACCGGTTCAGCCAGCGCGTCTGCAGGGGGTCAACAAGTCACCGGGCCCCCTCTGTCCCAGGGCCCCGGGACATGCCAGCGTGAAGATCACTGCTCATCGGTGTGAATCCGGAACTCCCTGCCTGGGCCACATTTCAGGGTCTGTTTAACGTGAAACCTCCATCCGCTCTTGCCCCAACACACAGGGCCAAACCGGCACAAATCCAGAGTGACACCATCGTTCTAGTGGGACTCATCTGATCTCTGGGGTAAATGGACACAGCCCTGCTCCCACCCAGGGCATCGCTGCATGGGGAAGGTGGGTGCTGGACTGAATGGCTCCTCAGGGGGCCTGGATCTGCTTGTACCAGCCTTAGCTGGGGCACATGCCGTGAAAGGATTAACCAGCCGTATGTTTCCACGTCTCTGATCAATGCAAACACCCGGCGATTTAGCAGTGTGGAGACTTGGCCACTCCTGATTGACTCACTCCACTGCGATGGTTTCCCTCGGCCTGCAGGAGTGACGCGAGTGGGCTCATGTTCCCACCTCAGCTCCTGCCCATGTTTTATGGCTTCTTCTGGCAGCGTCCTGGCTCGGAGATCCCGGCACTGGGTCCCCACCGGACTCAGGTCACGTCCCTCCCTGCCCAGGCCCAGGAGCTCCAGCTCCCTCCCTTAACCTGAGGGACAGTTAAGCATTTCCCCAGCATGGAGGGAGGAGGGGGAACGGCCACTCACCGCGTGGGAGGTCCAAGGCCTCGGCTGGGTAGCTGCGGGCGAAGCCGCTGTAGTCGAGCTCGTACTTGTCGTAGTGGGAGCCCAGCAGGCTGTTGAAGCCCCGCATCTCGTAGTGGACGGGCACGGGGCCGTCGGCGGAGCTGGCCACCCACAGGGTGTAGACGTTCTTCTTCCAGCCCCAGTAGGACACGTTCTGCCACACGGTGCAGAGCTGCCCTCTGTAGGTCTCCTTCCGCACGGGCTGGGGAGGTGACATTACAGTTGCGTTTCTCAAACTGGGGGCCCTGACCCAAAAGGGGGTCACAAGGCTATTGTAGGGGGGTCGCGAGATCACAAAAAATACTGCACTCACCTTTAGATCCTTTGCTAGGGTTCCCACATTTCACGTTCCCAACTAGAGGACACTGCTGGGGAGAGAGGGAGCTGGTGGGGGAGGGTGGGTACCACAGCTGCAGCTCTCCAGCTGCCCAGCGCCGAAGGCAGCGCAGAAGTAAGGGTGGCAAAACCAAAGCCCGCATTTGTTCATATTTCAAAAATGAAAACTGAATGTGCAGGACGATTTCAGGGCCTGCCTCAGTTTCCTGGAGCCACCATTGAAAAAAACGCTGTGCTTCCAAACAGCAGCACCTCTGGCAGTAAGTGTCCAGATACGTGTTTGTATATAGCTGTGGATAAAGCCACAATCCTTGGACAATGTTATGATAATTGCCCCCGATCACCGGAAAAGGCTCCCAGCTCCCCAAGCTGTAGCCTGTTGTCTATTTTCTTTCAGAAAACGTGTTTCTTAAATGTCCCCGTATTTAGTCCCGAAAACTCTGGCTTGACGCTTTTTGAAAGAGCTGGGCCTTCAGTGCTGGGCGCCTGACGAACAGGACTCTGGCTGCAACCGGGCATGGTGCATGGCTCTGCCAATGCACCTCCCGCCCGACCTGCAGCAGTTCTGGCCTGGCTCCAACAGAGGAGCTGCCAGCCCCGCCCGGTTGTGGGATGGACGTTGCAAAGGCACTGCCAGCTGTGCCCTCGGCTTCCAGGCCAGGCAGAACCGGAGAGTGGCTAGTGTGGGTGGAATTTTATTTCACCAGCAGCTGCGGCGCTTGGGGGAAGGCGGTTCAGTCTCTCCCCCCCTGCCCCTGATTCAGGGCCATGCATTCCCTAAAGGAGCGGCAGCAGCAACTGAGAAGCTGTTTTCCACCCAGGTGCGCTAGGGGAATGCCAGGCGTCAGCCCCTCCATGCCTCTCCCTCCAGGCGGGACCGTGGCAAAGGACACTGGGAGCGCTGGCGTGACTAGACCCAGGCTTGTCCCCTGCATTCAGCTTCTTCTGAGCCCCCAGGGAATGGACACAGGAGAGGAGCGCGTATGGGGGGTGGCTGGGCTCCTCGTTCGGACTTATCCGGGTCTAGCAGGCTTGGGGAGACTCCACTTCCTACAAGCTGCCTTGGCGGGGTGGGGGGTGCCCAGCTGAACCAGCAAGACCCAGGCCAAAGGACTCC